AAAGGATAAGGCTAAATAAATCAAATTAATTTGTGTTATATTTACTAATTCAATTTCATCGATCAAATAATAATCATTACAATAAAATGAGATTGAACTTTAGAAATTAACACCGATTGAACTAAAAAAAGTTCAAAAAAAAATGAATGAATTGAGTTAATCAAAAATTGAAAGTTAAACAAAACTGAAATTAAACTATCAGATAATAATTTTAAAAGTTATCGATTTGTTGACAATATTTGAAACATTTGTTAAATGATATTGCATTTGCAAAAAATGATAAACTTTAATGCTTAACGATTAATTTATGAATACATTATCAAACAGATATCCATATAAAATAGACTTCAAAAATTTGCATAAGTTTAAAACGAATATAATTTTGGAAAATTTTTTGGATTTTTAATTAAAAATTTTTTTTTAAAAAAATGTAATTTTTGGAATATGAAAAAATTTGGTAATTTTGGAAAAAAACGAAATGAAACAGTTTTATCAAATGTTATAAAATAAATAAATTTAAATTACTCATCAAATAATGTATGTTCTATTTGAAATAATAATAGAGAGGAAAATTTTTTGAGAATATACGGATTAAATTTTAAGTGAAAATTTTTGTTTTACTATATCATTCTCACTTTTTAATTATTTTTTATAGTTTTAAAATTTATTTAGTTTTAATAATGAAAATTGCAATGAATAGCTAGCTATCTAGTTGAATGTGTAAATTTATTATTTGAAAATAATCTTTTTCAATTATTAATTTTAGAGCTAAATTTTTTTTTTTTTGTTTTTACTGGGAAAAAAAGCAATTCAAAAATTATTTTAATTTCATACTAATCAAAAACTTTTTTTATGAAATAAATTGATTAATTCTATATATTCTAGATTGTATCTAAAATATTATATCATTTCAAGAAATGTTGATGAATGCTTTGAATATTGTAAAATAGTTTTATTCAAAGTATTAGCAAAAATCACATTTATCATGAATATTTTAAAGTATTTAATTCAATTTACAAAAATTCGATACTTTTATTGCTTATCACATAATCAAATTTTAATCATATTTTAATTAATCTTATCAAATCATGAATAGTTTGATTAGTATGTGAAATCAAATTTTATGAAATGATTGCTTATCATTTTTTTTTCTTTTTTTTATGATAACTATTCATTCTTACATTTTCATATCAATTCTAAATGCTCTGATTAATTTCATCTTTTTTTTTTTGTTCAAAAAAAAAAGTTTTTATTTTTAAAATTAAAAATAAATTTTCATTATGCTATAAAAGTTCTGTTCAACCTAAATGAATTACTACTGAATTAATCCTTAACACTTCAATATTTAACATTTATAAATTGCAAATTATCGTTTAAAATTCTTTCATTTTTATCAATAAAAAGAAAGAATTTATCATTGTTATTAAAATTTAACAGTAGTAAACTGTTAAATTTTAATGCAAAATGTTATAATTTGCTTTTCAGCTTAACAATATCAGTTCCGGAATCTTTTTTTTTTTTCTTTCCCTTTTTTCTTTCTTTCTTTCTTCTTTTTTGTTTTGTAGCATTTTGATTTGATTTCACAGTTAGCATTGTTTGAATAATAAATTCCATAAACAATCATCACATTTCCACTTGTCACTACTCTAAGCTGTTTCACCTCCATTAGCAAACAAGAATACACTACCATTTGCCTTCTTCATTCTCCTTTATTGCTTAGCTCTTTTCTCTCTTATTGTTATTGTTATTACTATTTTTTTCTTTTCCATTCAATAAATTATCCAACACCCACGCATCTGTCAAACATTGAAGCAATTTTTATTATATTAGAAAAATCATTTATAGCATGGGAAAAAAGGAAGAAGAAAAAAAAAACTACAGCCAAACATTCCTATGCAAATAAATGGAAAAAATTTAATGAATGAGAAGAAAATGGCACGAGGCAAATAATCTTTGATCAGAATCAATATTAATGATTGTGAAAACTATAACAGAAATAAAAGAAAAAAGGGAAAAAAAAAAAGTTTACAAAAGATTTGATAGGGAATGATTGAAATTTTTGAGGGAGCGACAAAAAATTTTTACAGTAACAAAAACTATGAAAGTAATTGTTATAAAGCCAAAAAATAGAGTTATCATCGCCAAAAAATAGAGTTATCATGGTCAAAAAATAGAGTTATCATGGCCAAAAAATAAAGTTATCATAACCAAAAAATAGAGTTATCATGGTCAAAAAATAGAGTTATCATGGTCAAAAAATAGAGTTATCATGGCCAAAAAATAAAGTTATCATAACCAAAAAATAGAGTTATCATGGTCAAAAAATAAAGTTATCATAACCAAAAAATAGAGTTATCATGGCCAAAAAATAGAGTTATCATGGCCAAAAAATAGAGTTATCATGGCCAAAAAATAGAGTTATCATGGCCAAAAAATAGAGTTATCATCGCCAAAAAATAGAGTTATCATGGTCAAAAAATAAAGTTATCATAACCAAAAAATAGAGTTATCACGGCCAAAAAATAGAGTTATCATGGCCGCCAAAAAATAGAGTTATCATGGCCAAAAAATAGAGTTATCATGGCCAAAAAATAGAGTTATCATGGCCAAAAAATAGAGTTATCATGGCCAAAAAAAAGCTTCACTTTCGAATATTTCATATACTAAGTTGTAGTAAATTAATCTTAAATATTCGAAATAGTCTTTAAAAAATTTTATTGAAGAAATAGAAAAAAGTTATAGCAAATTTATTTCGAATGTTCAAATAGCCTTTAAAAAATTCATGCTCAAACTAAATAAATTTGATGAATTTTTAAACAAATTGCATTAAAGTTTTGAAACATTCATCACAAAGATTTATTGAAGGAAATGTCACAAAAAGTTATTTCTTTGAAATTCTCCGAAAATTATAATTTTGAAAATCATCGAATTAGCTTTCAAATTAACTATACTTTTTATTATAAATATTTGTATAACATATATACATGTACAATCAATAAAAATATAAAAATTGCTTATGTATAATGTAAGATGATAGTCTGACTTATTCATTCAACTATAAAAACATTTTTAAATTTATAAAAAAAAAATTTTTTTTTTTGGAAATTTCAAAATCTTCAAGTAATATTAGCCTAAGCTCAAACTAAACTTAAATTACCTAAAATGCAAATAATTTTGAATTATTGAGCTTCTAAAAAGGAAAAAAAAAAGAATTTTACACATTCGTTTTTAGCTTTTACGCTTAATATGCATTAAACTTTTAATTTTTAATAAATATAGCGTTTTTGAAAAAAAAATATTTGATGACGAATAAGAGAAAATTTAAAAGATATAATATTTGTCAATCAAATATTTCAGTTTGTTGAAATATTAAAGATAACTTTCTTTACATTTCGGAAATGTAAATTATGCAATTACAGTTTTGATTTCTTTGACCTTTTACTTGTAATTCTAGATTTGCTTTGGCATAGATTTTAATGTGCGTTTATTTCCCGGTCTTTCGTTCCTGTTGCTGCTTGACCAATTAGTGACCATAATGACCTAGAAATTAATTATGTAGGTCAGTGACCTGATGGCATGTAAAATGACATATTACTCTGTCATTTCTCTATGTTATAATAAATGATAATCTTTTGCCTACAAGACAATAGCTCTATATTTGAGAGTTATATTAAGTAAGCCAAATAACATAAACATTACTCAACAGTAATCTTTTATTTATCCGGTTTTCCGTTCCTCTAAAAAAAAAAAAAGGAAAAAACGGAATTAAATTTTCATCAATTATGTAAATGATTCTCATAAAATATATGGGTTACATAGGTAGTAATTTGCATTAACGTATAGATTTGACATTGACCGTAATCTTCTAAGAATTATAAACTGATATTATGAATAAGTAAAAAATTTAACTTACAGATTTAAATTCATAGGTATATGACATGATGTAAAGGTATGATGACATTTGCTTTTTAAAATTTATTCTTTAAAAATGTGAATGTATGGTAAAATATACTTCTCAAAAAAAAATTTTTTTTTTTTAAAAATGTTAAATGTAAATGTAGATATGTACGGTGAAATATATATATATTTTTAAATTTATTTTTTTAAAAAATATGAATGTACATGGTGAAATATACTTTTTGAAATTTATTCTTAAATTTAACTTATAGATTTAAATTTATTCTTAAATTTAACTTATAGATTTTAGATGTTAATCTATCTAAATGTTTTGAACATACATATATGTAAATGTTTTGAGTGAAAAAGAGTGACATTTTAATGAGTAAAATTTATTCGTTCAAGAATGCTTCGATATGAGACATTTTAGATGTTAATCTATCAATTGTTGACATACTTTTCTGCATTCAATAAGGCCAATGACCATCAAAATGATATCTTTCCTTCATATAGAACAAATAGCTTCTTTCTTTTTTTTTTCTTTTGTTTTCCTTTTTTTCACTCAAAATATTAATTTGCTTCATTTTCATCTATAATTTACTCAAATTATTCAATAATTACAATTTATTCAGTAATTCTAAAGTTAAAAAAAAATACAAAAACATTTACATAACGTATATAATTTTTGACTTTATAAATTCATTGCAAATATATCTCAATAAATTGTATTTTTTAAAATATTATTTTTCTCTAAACAAATAAAATCTTTTAAGTTATTCTCTTTAAAAAAAAAAAAAAAAAAAATTCTCCAAGCAAAATTATCTTATAGCAAAATTTTCATAAAGTCTAAGTTTCAAATCAATCACTCAAATTGCTAATACAACTTGTTGTTCTTTAAATTTCAAAATGAAACTTGAAATATTTGCAATGCCACCAAGAGACAGAAGAGTTACACTTCACTCATTCTTCTACGACTTATTTTTCCTTTCGTCTCATAATTTTTGATTGTTGTGATGAATATTTTTATAAATGATAACAGTTATGATAATGATAAGAAATATTATTTATGGTAGTGATAAGAAGTGCAGCTTATTTCAGAGATTATGGATGATTGGAGTTTGCTAAGTGAGGTTTGTTTTTTTTTTCATTTTTTAATTTCAACTTAAATTTCAATTTTATTTTTTTACATATTCTTTCTAACGATAAAAATAAGTTTTTATAAAACTGTCAACTTCTTCACTCATTGAAGCATTTATTGTATGAATATGCATGCATCTTGTTGATATTACAGCATATTTTGCAATGATGTATAATTTTAATTAAGGATTTTAAATTTGTTCATATAATTAAATGGATTTTAGATAAAAGTGATTTATATCAGTTTGTTAGCCAATACATACAGTTACTTGAAGAATTTCCTTGTGCTTTTGTTCTTTTCTTCACATTTGCTTCATTTAAATTATATTGTTGCCAGAAAGTTGGAATTATTTTCAAAATTTCAGGTGAATGTGTTGGTGAAATTACCGGAACAATTCAATGAATGGTTGGAGTCAAAAAAATGGACAGAAAGACGTGATGCTCTACAGGCATTAATAAATGAAATGACTAAAACTCCTCGGCTTGACCCAAAAGTTGATTACTTTAGCATAACACAAAGTTTACGAAATGTGAGTCTGTACAGTTTATATCAACAATAATATTATAGCTGAGCAAATTTTTTAGTACTTTAAAAGAGGAAATGAAGTTTTTTCAAAACTTTGAGTGAATTTTTACTAAAAGTAGTACGTTAATCTTACTAATGTAAATAAAAGAAAGAATCATTTTAATGGATCACCAAAACTTATTTAAGAAAAAGAAAGTCCATATCTGTTCTACTTATAAATATGATTATACAAATTAACATTAGGTTCTCGCAAAAGATGCGAATATCAACGTATGTGCTCTCGCAGCGAAATGCATCACAGGCCTTGCGAATGGTCTTCGAATGAAGTTTGCACAGTTTGCTACATTGGTACTAATTCGTTTACTAATTAACTATTTCTGTATTTACTACTTTTATTTTTGTATTTACGATTTCAAAAGTCCCTGACTTTTTCACACTAATTGTCGGTTATTTCCGTGAATTTTAATTCTGATGATTAGATCATTCTTGTTCAATCTAATTAAGTCACCATTTTTTATGATAAGGTATCAAATATATTATTTATGATGATTTAATGGTAATAGTTCAGAGATAACAGATTACAGTGAGTCATCTGTTGATATTTTTCAGTATATTCCAGTCATTTTTGAACGTTTCAAGGAAAAGAAGCCAACCTTGCGTGATCCTCTGATTGAATGTATTGATACGATAGCACTCACAGTAAGTTCAGGCTTAGGGTCTTCTGGGTCACAATCTAAGTAGCATTTTTCATGATTTTTAAGTGTGTTTTTATATTTCCTGTTGTAATTTTCCTTCTTGTATACAGGTCAATTTGGATATGTTGGTAGATGAACTGTCTAATTGCTTCAATAAACCAAATCCTCAAATTAAGTTACAAGCATGCAATTTCATTTATCGAGTAATGAAGAATCATAATCAAACATCGGCACCAAAAAAAACTATTAAAGCTGTAACACCGATTTTGGTTAAGGTAGAATTTATACTATTTATTTTTCTATTAATAATTTATAAAGAATATAAAAGGCAATTGGAACTGTTGTAACTAAAATTGGTTTCCAGTTTACGACCGATCCAGACGCAGAAGTACGAGAAGCAGCATGTATTGGTCTTGGATCGATTATGCGTTTAACAGGTGATAAAGTGATGAACACTTTCTTGGGAAATTTACAAGAGGATAAAACCAAAATGAAAAAGGTTTGATGCTTTTTAGATTTTTGTAGGCCTTAAGCGGTTCAAAGGTAACGAGTGATAACAAGTTATTCTTCAAAACTTTAGATCCTCATAAGTTTTCATTTGTCTTTATCTGTATTTACTGAGACATTCTTAACTAGTAAATTGATTCGCAATTATTTCAACTCTTGTCAATAATGATTATTCACTTGGTAGTGAAGAATGGTAAAAGTGCTGTAAATTTACTTTCTACGGGCTCAAAAAGAATAATTCCTAGTTTTTTATTATCCGTGCAAGCGCATATAAAAAGTGGAAATTTTAAATTTATGGTGAAAAACAAATTTTTCTTTTGCTACTAAACCTTTATTTTGCGCCTTTTTCAGCATTTTTTTAAATAACATTTTTAAATCGAACAAAGTTCGTGTAACAAACTAGTCTTCTGCAAAATTTTCTTGAAGAGTTACGAGGACGAAAAAAAAAGAAGAGCTCTAATAATTCAAAAATTTCTCATCTTTCACTTAATTATTCTTTTTAAGATATGTGATAGTAGAGATCAAGCTACTGCCGAATATAATGAAGAAGCAATGAGGAAAAAAGAATCAGTACCCTGTGGAAGCACTGCAATTCCTAGTACAGACGCTGTTGTTGTTGGTCGTATGACTACAAGTAATGAAAGTTGCTAATTTCAAAATATATATTATCTTGCAACATATATATTTTTTTGTTATTTCACTAGGTGATGAAGCATGTGTGCAAGAAATTGATCCATGGGATATGTTGGATCCTGTAGATGTACTTGCAAAGTTGCCAGCAAATTTTATGGAAAGTATTGACTCGAAAAAATGGGTAGAGCGACGAGATGCATTGCAGTCATTACTTGTTCTTTGCACTGAGAATCCGAAACTCTGTCCAAAGGCTAACTATGGAGAATTTGTAGCTTTACTTAAGAAGGTAACTGTAATCTTTCGATGACTTTTTTTATTCTACAAAACTTCTTTTTAAATTTGTAAAAGGAAATAATAACTTTTCTAAATTTCGCGAATGCACAATTTTCTTTTGCTTTATATAATTTCCCACTTTATATGTTTCCAAGTTTTAACGTTTTGCTGAAATAATCACAAGAAGACACGCATTTTGGAAAATAAAGTTTGTGCAAAATATTTAAATTTCGGAAAACATTTTTTTTTTTATTTTATTTAGATTCTGGAGAAAGATGCTAATATCAATGTTTGTGCTCTGGCAGCTCGATGTCTAACAGCATTTGCAACAGGCTTACGTAAAAAATTTGCACAGTATGCTATCATGGTTGCACCAACAATATTTGAAAAATTTAAAGAAAAGAAGCCGGTTCTAAGAGATCCATTGATTGATTGCATTGATGCTGTTGCTGCTTCAGTAAGTTTTAAATTAATAAGAGATTTAAGAACTTATAATCTTTTGTGACTTTTGTGACATTGATTTTCTTTATATGTTTAGACTACTCTGGAAGCGTTAGCTGAAGACATTCAAACAGCTCTTGATAAGCAAAATCCTCATATCAAAATTCAAACAAATCTTTTCTTGTACCGAGTGTTCAAACAGCATAATCCGCAAACTGTCCCCAAGAAAATTCTGAAATTATTGGCTCCAATAATAGTGAAGCTCACTGGTGATTCGGATCCTGAAGTACGCGATGCTTCTTATGCTGCATTAGGTGCTGCTATGAAAGCTGTTGGTGAAAAGTCATGTATGGTTTTACTTGCTGATATTGCTGAAGAAAAGGTGAAAATGGCAAAAGTATGTTATCAGTTCTACAATTCTTTTTAATTTGTAAGGCTAAAAGCCTTTTTATCATTTCTAATATTATGTTTGATAAGAACTAGGGAGTTTATGAGCTGAATATTCATGACATAGTTCACTTTCTATTGATTTTTTGATTTGAATTCCAAGAATTTTCTACAGTTAACTGGTACTGAAGCATATTTCAGTACTTAATATTATTTCTTTCTTTTCCAAAAACATATAGATAAAAAAGGAAAGAGTATTTTATGTTGGAAGTTGTGTCACGATGCCTTGTAAATGAAAGTTATAGAATGTAGATTTTTAAATCAGGTCATTCCATATCATTTTATTACCATTTAATGAAAAGGTAATTTACAGATCAGAGATTTCTGTGAGAAGGCACTTCAAGAAGCTGGTACAGATGTTGTTTCGATTATGGTGCAAAGTATGCATAAAAGCAATGTTAGTCAACTATTTGCATGCTTTATTGCTTTTTTAAAATTTATTTCAATTACCGTTAAGTACCGTTAGGTACTTTCAAGTATTTAAGAATCATTTATTTCCTTGAGATGGAAGATGGACTCATTATTTCAATCGTTTAGCCTTTATCGATCCTTTGGATAAGTTTCCGAGTCCTAATTTTCACTGAATGAACCATTTGGTGAAAATGCTATATATTCGGTTCTTTTTTTTAATCAGCTTTAAATGCTATTTTTTTCCAGAATTATTCTGCTATTTGCTTTTCCACAAACTGCGAATGCTTTATTTAAGTTGGAGAAAAATTTCTTTTTTGTGTGGTGTTTTTGTTGTGCTTCGAAAGTTTCCTTCTTTGTTTTGGTTTTTGGTTGTGATATTTTGATTTGCTACACCTTTCTAGTGTGATAATTATTGTGTTTTATGTTTGTTTCTGTTTCTTTTTTTATTTTACGGTGAATGCCATTTAGCCTGAAAGTGGAACAGGTGATGGAAACGCTAATTCGAATTCAGTTTCAGTAAGTTGCTTTCTTCTGCATTTTTATTCAATTTTAAATTTTATTGAAAAAGTTATACGCTAAAGCTTAAGGCTCTTTATTAAAAACTTTTCCCTTAATTTTGATTTATGCAGCTGTGTTTGAGTGGAATGATATCCAATGTTTCATTTAGCACATTCGTAATATGGTACTATGGTGCCTGAAAGCTGACTGTTGGCTATTTCTGAAATAAAATAGTAAAAAGCATTGAAAATTTAAACGGATCAGATTATTAAAATACATGTTAAATGTTTGGTGGTAAATATTACTTTAATTTTTTTCTTGCTTTTGTAATTAACTGGTAATAGCAATCATCCTTTATTTGCCACGAAATATATTGATCTTATTTAGTCATTTGTTCAGTGTTCTATTTTTGCATGCCTGTCATTTCGTGACTGTAGTAGTGGTTCCGAAATGTCACTTTGCATTTGATATAGGTTGTGACAATGTTCATACTAAGCAAATTTTTACCACTAACTACCGAGTCATTTTTTCATAAAAAAGATTTCCAAATATTTTGTTCCATAAAAATTAAACTGTTTGTTCTCAGCCTCTGAAACCACCAGCACCTGGCGTAGGAAATTCGAGTGTTAGTGAGAAAACACGTTCAAAAGAAGTAATAAATGAGGATAATACGGAAGAGAAATCATCGAAAGCAACTAGGAAAGAATTTGAAGCTGCAAAGGTTTCAATTAAAATATTTTAAATTGTTTGTTTTTTTTTTTTTTTGAATGCGTGATATTAATATTATAAATGTACGGATTTTAGAGGGCATATATGATTGCTTTTGTAGGAACCGGAAGAATCAGTGAAGCCGAGGGATGAATTTCTTGTGATTAACAAGGACAAAGGAATTAGATTGAAAGATGAAAGGAATCTGCGGGCATGTTTTTTCGTTCTGAAATTATCCAGTCTTTTTTTATTTATTAAAAAGTAATTCATATTATTTAAAAAAAAAAATATTTAAAATGAAAACTTTCATTGCAGTTAATTTCAGGTTCTGAAATGGAACTTCGATCAACCTGAAAATGAGCATATCGAGCAGCTGAAAACATTATTGGGTAATGTTACCCAAGCATCTTTATTAACACTTCTGTTTAACAAAGACTTCAAACAACAACTTAAAGGAATCGATATCTTACAATCGGTTTGATTGTCATTACTTAACTAATCTCACTTTTTATGACGTTCTTAGGTGTGACATAATAAAATAAACAAATATCTAATACTCAGAAATGTCTATTTCAAACATGCTGGGATGTAAAATTTAACAATTGTCATAATTTCCAAACAGAAAAAATAAAAATTATGCATGAGAAAATTCCAATTCAGTGTTTATTTCTCTCTGTTTTTTTTAAATGAAATTTTGCTGTGATTATATTCAGCTGATCACCGATTGTCCAGAATCTTTGATATCAAACAGTGATTTATTACTGAAATGGATTTCATTACGGTTCCTAGAAACGAATCCAACAGTTTTGCTGAAAGTGCTTGATTTAACGCAGGGAATATTCAACCTTTTATTGCAACATAACGAACCTTTTTCGGATCAGGAGATGTATTCTTTTGTTCCATATTTGCTTCTAAAGGTTCAGTTTCTTTTTGGAATTTTCAGTTTTCATAAACTAACGATCTTCTTTTTCTTATGAACTTAATTCCAATCCCATTGTACTTTTTGCTGCTTTTAATTTGCACCGATAAATTAACAATATAATATTAGTCTGAAAAATCATTTTCCATTATATTGAAAAACTTTGAAAACAGTTTTGAGCGAAATTGCACAAAAGATTTCGCTTCCAAGAAAATTTGATATTCCAATGACTGAGTTTTTTTTTTTTTTTTTTTTTTTTTTTGAGAGCTGGAATATGACTAGTAGTGGTATTTATTTATTCATTTCAGATTACTGATTTTTTTTTCTTTTTTGTTTTATTAGAATAAGAACATCTCATATTATGGCTCATTATTTCGTTATAATTCGGAAATATTCGATTTAATTTCGAAAATCTTTTCAGTTAGGAGAAGCAAAGGATTCGGTTCGCACACCAGTTCGTACTATAATCCAACTGGCCACTGAACTAGTTAGCCCTCCAAAGATATTTCCACTTATAATTGAAGGCTTAAAGACGAAGAATTCCAGACAACGGACTGAATGCCTGCAAGTTTTAGAACAATTACTTGATACGACGGGAATGGCTGCTACTACAACACCAGCTGTAAGTCTTTTTAATTCTGCTATTCAATTCTGAAATCGTAAAAACTCTCATCAAAAGAAATTGAAATATGAGTTTTTCAAAAAAAAATTTCAAATTTCAAAAAGGCATCCCAAATGCTTTAATCAGCTTTACCGGATTGTTTTTAGTTGTGAATTTTCATTCTCTGAATTTTATTGATAGCACACATATGCATGCTATGAATTTTTAACCTTTATAATATGTTTGCAGCAATCTTTGAAACAAATCGCAGCATGCATTGATGATCGTGATAATAATGTACGTAACGCTGCAATTAATGCTATTGTAGTAGCTTGGAAAGAAGAAGGTGATCGAGTTTTTCAACTTATCGGCAAAATGAATGACAAAAGTAAAGCGATGTTGGATGAACGTATAAAGCGAAGTGGTGTAGTTTCGAAAGCGCGAGGTAAACTTTTCTTCTCAGTCGTCCTTTTAGTTATTTTTGATATGCATATTCTTTTAATTAATCAATATAACATTTTAGTGTGAAAATGTAGTAACATTAAATAATACTTTATATGGTTATAGCTCAAAGTTATGAAAGTGATTGTGGAAATATTTGTTGTACGATATTTTCTATTCATAATTGGTAGCGGAGGTATTAACAATTGAGACACTTTTTTCAGGAGGTCCAGAACGAGTTGGTACATCAGCTAAACGTAATGCAAATATTTCTGTTGGCATTAAAGGTCTTCTTACATACATGTTTACATATTTATATTGCATTATCTTTTAATGTTTAGCGTATTTCTAAAAAAAAAAAATTATAAGCAGCACAAGATATAAATTTAGAAAAGTCAGTAATCTTTTTTTTTCCTTTTTTTTTTAATATCATATGAACAAAATACAAAATATTATATGAAGTATATTTTTTGCTCCTATTCAAATTACTGCATTATTTTTACCATTCATTTTTAGGTAGAAGATTGAGAAGTGATCGATCATCAAGTAGAATAGGTAGAAACACTCATAGAAGTAACAGTGTTTCTCGCGATTCCAGTCCAGTTGAAGAAAAAGAAAACAATCGTACATTTACAATGCAGGTACATGAAATTTATTTTTTGTTATAGTTAACAACCAAACACGATTTTGAAGATATTTAACATTTATGATATGTCTTTGAATATAAAATAGTTTGACGTCTTATACAGTACACATATGTAGAAAAAAAGAAAAAACTGAGTTAAGAAATGTGATTGAGAATTTAGTGTTATGTATTAATCTTTTATTTATAGTGGTTAATCTTGCAATTGCATTTTTCTTCAAGTCCAAATTATGTTTTAAACAACTTTTTGCAGGAAAGAGATCTTGGTAGTCATAGTGATGATACTGATGGAACTCGTAGACGTTTCGCTTTAAATTTAGATGTAAGTTGAATGACAGCATTTTACTAAAATATCTATATATGAAAAAGGAATTTGTTGAATTTATAAAAATTACTCGATTTTTATGATTTTTATATTTTGTCTTTCATTTTTATAAATTTTTTGGTCAGTACAATCTTGAGACATCCTTGTTTTGCTTATGTAACAAATGAAGAATTTATTCATGGATGCATCCAATACAAAGTTACAGCTGAATAAATGGAAAATTTTGTTATTTTGATAATTTATGCTTATATTTCAACTGAAATTCCTAATTTTATAGCTTCTGAAGCTTGACAATAACGATGAAGCAGTAGTATATCCTGAAGTTGATAGTAATACATTAGAAATGTTGGAACCTATTGAACCAGCAATCCGCAAACGGCGACATCCACCACAATATGCAGACCGAGCAGAATCTGTCAGTTCACTGACCTCTCTGGAATCTGCAGCAGGCGATGTAGACAAGGTTTTTTTTTTTTTTTTAATAGGCAAATTTTTCTCTATGAAGTTAAAAAGAACTATTTCTTTGTTAAAAACTTCCTATGTATTCTTCTTTTAGGTTGTGCATGGCGTAGCTTCGATGTCACAAGCAACTGCTACAGCAGCTATTAGTCAATTACAATTTTTGTTCGGCGATCCGAGTAATTTTCGTTATGTTGCCGATCGAACTGATGCTGTTGTACAGGCAATTGTAACACAATCATCTATTATACGTAGTCGCCATCTTGATGATGTTAGCGCATTAGATGAACTGAACGAGCTAGTCCGAACAATATGCCATTTCTTAAGTTCGGTATGTTATTCATTGATGCCACGTTTGTTCTTCAGAAAATGGTGTGTATAAATTCGTTAGAAATTCTATAAAATTATGGTTTCAGGAATATGTATGCTAATATTTTTAATAACTCACTGGAATAGTGACTGTATTGATTAGGCAAGATAAACAAATTTTTGAATGAAATAGTTGTTTTTAATTATTTCTATAAAATTTTAATGTTTCAGCTTATCAAAGAAACAACGACATGCTCACGAATTTCTTCTGATGCTTTGAAAATGCTCATACAAGAGTTTCTCTATCTCTTAAAAGATGAACGCATGCAACAACTGAAAGATATTCACTCCGTAAGTATGAACTTTTGATATTCAATATTTTTTCAATTATTGGATGCATAAAGTTTTGAATTAAATTCATTATAAATAATGTTTTGTCAATTTACAGATATTTCGCTCACTTAACTACTTATCGATTCGAATATGCGATAATGCTGATCCAACTGCTTGTTTTCTTGCTCTTTGTTCAATGTTAACATCTGCTTTACATGACCCACGAAATAAAACTGTCGAACTCATAAATAAGGTTTTGAGTAGTTCTGATATATCGATTTGCTTCGGAAGCATTGTCAAAAAAAAAAAAGACTTGTAAACTATATTTAGTTATTGGCATAATATTTTATGCAATGTTTGAAAATTTCTTAGCATTTGGTAACAGGAACGAAGCTATATGTTTATTTAAAAATTAGCATCAAATAGATTAAATTTTGGAATCATTTTTAACGTAATAGGATAGTTTTTGCTTCAGCAATATCTTTATAAAATTGCAGTGTATTTACAAGCAGTCCGAATTATTCCTTCGTGATGTGCCAATGAATTTGGATGAAATCGTGAAAGCAATCCATATTTTCATGCAGGAATTTCGTCCTCGAATAGATGAAAATAAAAATATCAAAAATTCCTTGCATTCAATGGAATTATGCATACAGCGTTTGGTAGCAGGAACGAAGTCATCGGTTTGTCTGAATTTTGAACTTTTTAGTTACAAAACAAGAAAATGTTTGGAAATGCTGGAATGTCTATGAAGTTTAGAAATACTCTTATTTTAGGTAATACAGCATATTGGCGAAATACCGAATCCGGATTCAAGTGAAGCTGTAATTTATATGAGGAAGTGTATTCGTGGTTTGCAAAACAAAAGTAATCAAAATAGCTTAGCATCATCAGCATATGGGGAATTGCCGGGACAGGTTGACTTTATACACAATCATTTTTCGTAATTCCTGAATTGTCAGAATTTAGTATACTGGAGTTAGTTAGTTTTCCTTATTTTTAGTGAAAAAATAATTTTCGGAATTCCAGGTTGTCTCATCTAATTATGAAGATTCAATACGAAATTTGATTTCGAAAATTGTTGAGAATCCATTTGGAAAGGTCGGTAAAGTTCACTGCGTATTCAGTTTTTTTTTCCTTTCTCTACCTCCATTTCCTTTTCATCTATTTTAAATTGAATTATGTTATGAATTTATGAGATTACTGTTGCATTAATTCGATGTATTTTTTCTTCAAAAAATTGCTATGAAAATTTATTTAGGGCCTACGATTTTTGCATACATTTTTGAAGATGAATCCGGATGCTCGAAAAGTTCTAGAAGAGGAACTGAAAAAACATTGTCGAATACGGGTTAGTCTGTTATAGGATGTTCATTATGTGCTGAACTTAATTTTAAGTAACTTTGAAATTACTTCGAGGTAATTAAGCTTGTTTCATTTTTGTTATTTGACTATGTTAGGGTTGAAAAGTTGTGAAGGTAGGTCTTGTGTCGTTCAGAATATTCAAATATGCTTCTACAGTTTTTAATAACTTTATCGATCAATTGAGTTGGAGTGAGATGATTTGCTTACTGGCAATATGAACATGTTGCAGAAAAATTATAAACCATTCTGAACCATGTCTGCTTCATCATTAAAGAATCTTAGTAGGATTTGTTATCTTTACTATCAAATATCATTTCCATGAAACTTAGTTACATTTAAAGATTCACTTCCCATAAATATTGTATTACGAAGTTTGAACTATATTTATTAAAGGGTCATACATCAAAGCGTCTTCCATATAAGGTGAGCGTTGATAACTCTTCAGTTTTCTTTCGCCTTCCCTCAATTATTGATCATATGCAAACTACATACTGGAATGCTCATTTCTAATTTCTTTAGCATGGCTTTTGTAACGAACTGTCATATTTTCTTTTGTGATTGAATATTCTGAATCACATATGTCCATATACCATGCGCTTCTCATTTTTGTATTTTGTGCTTAGCTTAATGTGGAATGATTTTTCAAATTAATTAAAATTATATTTATATTTGCAGGATTTTATTACTCTCCATTTGAAGAAGATGGATTTAGAAGATCGCGAAACACCGGAGGTCACTGACGAATTATATAACGTAGATTTTTTTTAATTTTTTTTTGACCTTTGTTTGCTAACGTGCATTTCGTGTTTTAGTATTTCATTACTAAACGTTTTAAAACAACGAATTTTTTTTTTTTTTTTTAGCTATAATCACCAACTGGACTGATAGTTAGCATATATATATAGAAGAGTATATTATATATTGTTACTTTGTAACCCAATTTTAAGAATTTCAGTCTTTGAAATATACGATATCATGAAGTTTTATTGATTTGATGTTGAATCTGTTTGCAAATGTATACTTTTAAGGTAATGGAATCCATTCGTGCACACCGTGAAGCATTACGTAGTTATCGGCAGACAGGTTGGTGGACTGGTAGTGCTGCTAGTGCTCTTGCTACATCAACCGATGAAAATGCAAAGCCAATGACTGTACGCCGTTCATTCCAAAGGTGAGTTTATTTATATTTCTTTTTCTATAATTAAATACTCTTAAATACATAAAATACTTATTTTCAAATTTTTCTTTTTAAATGTATTCTTTGAATTTAAACCGTTAAAAATTTCATATGATATTCTGTTGTTATAATTTTTTTGATTGTATTAATTTTAGACAACCTTTGGAAGGAGCACCAGAAAATGAACCCGTTACACCGGTCCCTACAAAGCCAAAACTTACAGCTAGTGATGTGGAACCATTGAAACAATTACTGAATATGCGGCGACAGCAACAATGAACAAAATTATTTATGATAATATGCATTTGATTTTTTATTTTTCCTTTCATTGAAAAGAAGCGTAAAAGAATATGTGTAAGGAGCACATGACTTTAGTTAATTAGCTAAAAAAGAGCTATCAAAATAATTCTTTTTTAGTCGTTATCATATTTTTAAAACCTTTGATCAATTCATTCAATGTTAGCGAGAACTAATCGGTATTCTTCAAGTTCTGTATAAAAATGAGATGATATAAAAAATGATATACGTACGTAATGAAGGTGAGAAATATAATTATTTATTTTTTGCGTATAGTTCGTTACTATACTGGCACTTCATTTCTACAGCTTATTTACTGGCTTCATTATATATTGAAAAACAATCTTTAATATTATCATATTCTTATTTATTTTTCAGAAATGTATTTATATGAGTGTTGCACCTCTAGAATTTGCTACTACTGAAAACGGGTGTTTTTTATGAAGGAATTTTTATATGTGTATTAATAATTTCTCAATAAAAATATTTTATTCCAAACAGTAATAGCTTTTCTTTTTCGATAGCAAAGAAGTAATGCTATCTTCGAGAATATCTTTTGGGAAGATTGCTTTTTTTTTTTTTTTTAATTTCTGTATTTTATTCAGTGTTTCATATTTTCATGTATCAACAGAATAACCAAGTCAGCAGCCAGCATAGTGGATATTAAAGAAGTCATTGATAACTTTTAATTTGTAGTCTATTATGGATGAGTCAATACAATGAAAAATGAAACATAGCTTTGTTATTTCTCAGTTAAAAAGGGCATCACTTTTAATTATATTGGCTAAAATATGTCAATGAAATGATACTAAAAAAAGGAATTAAGGATAAAGTGATACTATTAAGAGGGAATCATATCGGTAATTTTTTGATGCAAATTAGAACTATACAACTTGATGAAGAGCTGAAAAGGGGTTCCTGGGGCTGAGTGGTCTAGTGGTATGATTCTCGCTTCGGGTGCGAGAGGTCCCGGTTTCGATCACCGGCTCAGCCCACCTTGTTTAGGTTTTGTTGGTATTTTAATTTCATAGTTGTTAGTTTTGAGGATGTTTGTGGGAAATTTGGAAAAAAATAAAATATGATAACACTATGGTTGTATTTGTTGTTTATTATCAAATTTAGTCTTTCATTTCCTTCTCATATAACTTTAACTGTTAGTGCTTAGGAGAGTTTATCGATAATGAAATGCTGCAATTGTTAATTGTATTCTTACTTTTGCTCTTACTTATTATTGATTTACCTACTTCATCTTTTTTTTTTACTCAGATTAGCAACCATCCTATTTCTTTGCTTTATTAGATTGCTAGCAGAGAGAGAGAGAGAGAGAGAGAGAGAAAGACTATTAGTATTAATGTTTGCTCGTTAGAATATAATCACAAATTATTGATTAATCACTTTTTATTTCCAAGTTTATTAGCTTTTTTTTTTTTCTTCCTTCAAAGTGTTACTAATGGATTATCTTTAGAGTTTCTTTTCATTGGAACTATTATTTCATTCTTTTGCACACAAAACTATTTTACAAAAAATTCCTGTTATTTCGAAATATTTCAATGCTTTATGTAAAATTGATGACACATAGTATGAATCATAGCAACTACAATGTTAAGTATATATGCTTGTGTATGTGTGTGTGTGTGTGTGTGTGTGTGTGATACAGCCATAGGACTAAAATTTAAATCATATATCATTTGCAGACAATAAAACTATTCGTAAAATGATCGTTTCATTTTGACATTTTGAAAATGATTAAAATTTCGGATTTAATTTTGATCAGATAACAATCAAACATATTACAGTTTATAACAAAAGAGAAGTAGGAAAATACGATAGTGAAGTGATTTGTAGTTTAGAATGAATGAAATTGTTTACTTACTAGAAGGGTGAATTAAATACAAAAAAAGAAAGAATAAATGATATTTTTAATTAGAAAAAAATGAATAAGCTTAATTCAGTAATAAAAAATAAAGTAATACTTATTCAGTTTACTCATTTCCTTACTTATTACTGCATTGAATTGAAGTGAAAATTTGCTGAAATTATCGAGAATATTTGCAAAAGTTATTCGTTAACAAATATTTCACAATGGACAATTATAAAGAGAGTATAGTAATAGTTAATGTTGTTGAATGATAGATAATAATTTTGCCTCTTCTAAAAGTTGTTGTTAACAAAAGTATTTGCAAATGATTCAATGGTAGGTGGTAGTTGCATATTAGCATCAAAGTTTTCAATCGATAAATAATTTTTATTGCATTCATTGTGGACGCATTATTGCTGCAATCTTTTCTTTTTGTTTTATTTTGTTAAATGAAAAATTGATAAGTGTTATAATATTCAACAGTATTAATATATTTTTTCATCATTACTTATTAATTTTATGATATTAGTGTTATTCAAATATTTTATTAATTTTTAATTTATTTGAAATTTCCAAAATGAAAAGATTATTAAATTATAATGGAATAGAAGAATGAATTTATTACACTAGATAATTTGCAGAGTATTAATATATGTGAAGGGAGAGAGAGAGAAAGAGAGAGCGAGGGAGAGAGAGGGAGAATAGAAATGAGTAATTAGAGAATGAAATGTAAATAAGACTTTAATTAAAAATTATTCAAATTCATTTATTTCATTGTTAAATGAATTGTAAATGTATGTGTCATATCATTGTTATATGTATGCATTGTTTATTGATTGTTGTGTGTAGCAGTTTGCTGTCGCCTTTCTTCAGTTCTTGTTTCGTCTTGTTTCATCGTTTCATTCTTCTTATTGTCATCTGAAAGATAGGCATTTGTGAGGGAATAATGAATATTATTATGAGATGATGATACATGTATATCTTTTGCTTAAATTCTATTTAATTAAATTATTATCAAAAATTATTTCTTAAATTTATCATTCTGTTATACTTTGTAATAAGTTATTGATTTTATAAGATTTAAATATTTGCTATATGTTTGTTATTGTAGATAACTTAGTAGAAATTAAAGATTGAAACTTTATTGTAAGATATATTAAGGATTATATTTAATATCATTTACATAATTTAGTCTCTTTTTTTCTCGATTCATTCGTTATTTTAGTTTTGTTTGCATAATAATTTTGTGCATTTTTATGTTTCTTGAAAGCAGTTATTTCTTTGAACTTATAATTTATTTACATTTAATTGTTTTCTATTGTTGTTTGTTTTACAACGTTCTATCACTGTTGTATTATTTGATTTTATCAAATATTAATTTTTGATTTTGTTACAGCATAAAGTAATGGCACAACAGTATGGTTATGCTGGGCAACCGCCTTATCAGCAGCCAGGTTATCAGAATGGAGGAAATCCATATCAGCAAGGTCCTCCATATCATCATCCTCCTCCTCCTGGTTTCAATCCTCAAGGTTAGAAGTTTCTTTGCTAGCATCGTTTAAAAATAAAGTAAAATTGTTCAATCGAAATGTTAATGCTACTCAAGACTTGAGGTAGTATATTCTTTGACTGTCATTTCATTCCTTTTTGGAAACTTTTAAGAGTATACTCCGTTGTCCCTCAATGCTTTTATGAAATGTTATATAATCAAACTTTACGCTATGTTAGAGATGGTTTTATTAACATTTCCAGTTATACCGTTTGTCAGATTTGTTTTTGATTTTCAAAAGTAATAGATTTATTCTTCTTGCATGTATGTTTCCAAGCAGATACTATAAAAAGCATAGCATAACTTGTAAAAGTAATTCAATTGTTAAACTTACTATCACCGAACGATGTGATGATGCTGATTATAGGATTTGATAACTTAAAGATACTCTATGAGGAAAAGTACGTGATGATATAGGTTTGCAAAACTTTGAAAGATTAAAGTTTGGTCGTGTCTTGTTCTGGAATTTAGAAAACAATAATTCAAGGAAATGTTTGTATATTTCAGTATTCATGCCACCACCACCGATGCACCCTGGTTTTGATGCATATGTCGAAAGTGAAGGTGTTAAGTCGGATTTTGGCTTTAATTCGGCATCTATTCGAGCAGCTTTTGTCCGAAAGGTTTTCACACTTGTTGTGATTATGGTATGTTTCTCATTAATATTGTAAGATATTCAAAATTCATTTTCGTTAATTTAGAGATACTTTCAATGCAGTGATTATTTTAGGAAAATAATCATCAGAAGAAGTAGACTAACAGGAAGGCAACTGTTTTAACATATAAGTTTGGACGCTAAGAGATATTTTATTTACTGTGTGATTAGAATTTAAGATAAAAATTTTTAGTTTTTTTTGGTTTCTTTTAGTTAACAGTGGTAACAGTGATGACTGCTATACCATTCCTTCATCATGGAACAATGAAGTTTGTGCAAAGTACGCCGTCAATGTATTTTGGGAGTTACTTCATATTTTTGATGGTTTATATCATGTTAATTTGCTGTGAAAGTGTGCGAAGGTTCAGTTTTTGATACTTTTTTTTTTAAAAAAAAGGAAGAAAAAACATATTAAAATTAAAACGTTATTAATGTTAATGAAAGTGAGTGGGTTAATTTTTCATATGTTTTTTTTCTTCTTGGGTAAATTCAAATATCAAAAAGAGTTGAAGAAGCAAACTGTAAAGGTCTAATTTGAGAATATAATTTGTTCACTGGTCTAATTTGAGAAAAAAGAAATAGAATTGCTTCAGATATAACATATCATTTTAAGTGATCTCTAACTTTGTAAAATCTGATTGATTTATGTTTCAATTTCAGATCATTCCCGGGTAATTTGATTGCGTTAAGTATCTTAACATTATCGACTGGTTACATGACCATGATGATTTGTTCTTTTCACGGACTGGTTTCGGTATTACTCTGCTTGATAATAACAGTCATTTGCTGTTCCGGAATCATTATTTTTTCTTCCCAGACGAAATATGATCTTACAAGGTTTGTGATAAAGTTTTTTTGAAATTTAGATTTCAATAATTTATGTATTTAGGAGAACTTTCAAGTTTCGTATTCTTTTTATA